TCTGACATGTTATATCTGCATCTATCACTCACTCACACACACACACACACACACACACACATGGGGAGGGAAGGAGGAAAGGGGAAGAGAGAGGGAGAGAGAGAGAGAGAGAGAGGGAAGGAGGGAGGGAGGGAGAGGGAGAGGGAGAGAGAATGAATTGCATATACAAAAGAGTTTTTCATCTCCCCAGAGCCAATTTCTTCCATTGGGATAACAGCAACCTTTGTTAAGAACACTGGGGCACTGTCCACAGGGGCTATGGGTTTAATGGAGTCCATCTTCAAATCCAGGCGTTGGCCTGTGTTCCTGTTCCACTATTATACAGTACTACCTGTCTTGGGTGCTGCCTCCTGCACCTGTAGCATCTCAATGTCTTTTAGTTATTCTTAGGACGATGGTACCCAGTACTTCAAGCTCTTTGCTGTTCCTGCAGTGTGTTCCCATGACACTGAGCCAGTGTCTTGCTGGAGGTCATTCTCCCTTTCCTCTCCAGCTTTGTCCTCTGACCTCTAACTGTTTAGCTGTTAGCTTCCCAGGGAGCTTCTCCTAGACCTGACTTTCCTCCCAGGCTGCATTGAAGCCCAATGTGCACCTAGCCTTCTATGAACATTATTCATACTTCATTCTGTCACACACCCAGCCCATAGGGCTTTGTGACAAACTCCATAAGTATTATATAAACAGCAGGAAGTCACATACAAGACCATGCCCATGCAATGACAGAAATGGCTTCATACTTACATAAATAACAGAATACTTAGCTGAACCTTTGAAAGTACCTGCCTGTGTAAACCTGTACAGGCCCCTAAGAAACTACTCTCAGCCAGCTTTCACTTCATATTTTTGAGGACAGTGGTGGTAAGGCTAACTTTGGGCTCCAGAGCTAAACCTAGGCATGATGGGCATATTCTGTCCTTTAGCTACCAGAAGACTCTGGTGGTGGTCAGATGACCAAAATCAGACATGAGAAACACCTTTTTGGAGCCTGTCCTGGAACTTGCTCTGTAAATCAGGCTGGTCTCGAACTCACAGAGATCCTCCTGCCTTTGCCTCCCGAGTGCTGGGATTGAAGGCATGCACCACCACCACCCATTAAGAAACACCATTTTGAGACCTCATTTGAACTGTTAGATTACAAAGTCCCTTTCTGTAGGGATGGTGTGATGGGAGTCTAGCACAGACCAGAGGGCTCCCATGAAGAACAAACATGTCAGCTGGCCATGTCCTTATTCTATCTTCCAAGACCAGTCACCTGATGCTCCTGGAACTTCCAGTGTAATGCATCAATACTAGTCCTCCCCCCCCACCCCCCCACCCCCCACCCCCCACTTAAGGGAATTTGATTTATGTGTCAAATACAACTAAAAAGTTCTCTGATAACATTGTATTTTACCTGGCTCATAACAATTATTCAACAAATGTCAGTTTCCTTTCTCTCCAGGTCAAAGAAAGGAAAGGGCCTCCCACCTACCACACAGATCTGTATAAACCTCAGGAGACGGTACCACCCAAGGGTTTAGCACAGTGCCCGGCGCTCAAAGTGGACCTGTTGGAAGTTATCTCACTCTCCAACTGTACAACAGGGAACAGAGAATTCAGAGGCCCTGGATTTCATTTCTACACTTTGTCACGAACGGTTAAATTGCAGCGTCACCAGCTCTAGGTGGACTCACTCAATCTGGAACACAGGCTACAAACTATCGGCGCTATGGTTAGGCTGCCACTGTGGGTGTTGGACTTGCCACCTGAGGCATCACCCCAGAGGGTTGGAGGAGCCTCGCCTCTCTGCTTATGTCAAGTCCCTTTGTCAGTCATCTCAGCCATCCTGTCCCCACGCCTGGAAGGGCAGAGACATACTGCTACTCTAGCTTCAGAGCCATGCCACCATGGGGACACAAGTCTCTGTCGTGCTTGCCAATTCTCTATGTGAGCTGCCTCGTGCTGCTTCCTTTCATGTTAATCACAGGAAAAAAGTTGGACAGAAAAAAGGCCCTTGTCCCCTCTAGGCTGTTCTCATGCTCTGCCAGCATAGCCATCTTAGCATGAATTCAGTTTTATTTTTCTTGCTGTCAGGGTTTTTTTTTTTTTTTTTTTCAGTCATTATTGTGCACTTTAAACCAAGCTTTAGGGGGAAAGTTACAATATTTTGGCATGAACTATTAATCTATTTTCCATTTGAACTAACAGAGTTTTGCAGAAACATAAACAGTTGTCATTTCAATCTTAAGGGAAAGTGTGCCTTGTACAGTAGGTGGTTTAGAGCTGCCCATCTATGTACCAAGCCCTTTTTGAATCAAAGTGCGCAAGAGACATGCTCTTTGGCGGCCTGGTATGTGTGCCTGCCTCTGTTCCCAGCCCCTCTCAGTCGCCATGATCTGACAGAGGACACAGTGCAGAATATAGTGTCATTGGTTTTCTCCCCAGAACTGCCTGAGTACAAGTGCCCGGCCCCCATGTAGCCCACACTACAGCAAAATTGCTTTCTTTGTATGGCCCTGGCTGTCTTGGAACTCACTCTATAGGTTAGCCTCGAACTCAGAAATTCACCTGCTTCTGCTTCCCCAGTGCTGGGATTAAAGGCATGTACCACCACTGCCCGGCTTAGATATTTCTTTATGGCAAGCAGTTCTCAGAGAATGCATATCACATGTCCTACATATCAGATATTCACATTAAGATTCGTAACATTAGCAAAAGTACAGTTAAGAAACAGCAATGAAGTAATTTTATGGCTGGGGTTAGCACAACATGAGGCACCAAGTTAAAGGGTTGCAGTGTTAGGAAAGTTGAGAACCACTCTGTTTTGCTCCCATAATTTCCACATACTTGGGGAAGACTGAGATGACCACAGTATCCTGTCTTATGCAGTTGAAAACAGACCTGAGGGCATATAGTTAATATGTATGCCTTCCCTTTCTGCTGAGCTTTACCTGCAAGGACACTACTCATATTATGGCCTCCTCTGAGCCACTCTCAAGCCTTTCCTGGCCTCTGAATGCTCTTCCTCACAAGCTCTGCTCAACAAAGCAGCAAGTAATTCTAAAGTTAGACCACAACACTCTTGTAGAAATCCCCCACTCACAAAGTGTCAAAGGCAAGGTGCACACCTTTAATTCCAGCACTCAGGCAGCAGAGGCAGGAGGATCTCTGGCCAGCCTTGTTTATAGGGTGAATTCCAAGACAGTCAGGTCTACACTGAGAAACACTATTTTAAAACACCAGAAAAACAAACAAATAAACAAACAAGGCTGTCTAGATCCAATCCTTTCTGCCCTGGCCTGTCTCTAACATTTTCTCCAGGACCCCAGCACTCCAATCATACTCCCTGGTTATTTCTACAACATGAGGGGCAGAAGCTTTTACCTCCTCTGCTAGAAAGAGCATTTGGTTGGGCTAAGATGTAGCCCATCATTTAGGTCTTTGCTCATATATGATTGCCCCAATCAGGATTTTCATGGCCACTCAGAACACTCAGAATGCTCCATTCCAGCTCCCAGTATGACCTTTCCAGATGTAGTTTTCTTAGGAATACTTTAGGTTGCTTTCTTGCCTGTCTCCACTACAACAGAAGACCACAAGGCATGAGCCACCGATTCTCACTGTTGCTTTACTGGTCTCCACAAGATGCTCTGACTCAAACATAAGAGAACTGACAGGATGAAGATGAGGAGGAGCTGAACTACACCTGCGGCCACTGGCACTTCTGTTCCCTTTCTTGCTGCCATGAGCAAATCCCTTGCCAGATTCAGCTTTGGTAGGAAGGATTATTGAGACTCACAGTTTGAGTGTAGTCTTCCCCTGCAGGGACGATGTGGAAGCAGGGGGCAAGCTACTTTATCTCCACCAATCAGCAGAGACTAGGGATTCTAGTGCTCTGCCAGTTTTCTCCTTATCTCTCTGTGTTCAGCCTGGATGCCAGCCCATAGGGCAGTGCTGCCCACTTTCAGGGTGGATCTTATTTAAGGATTTAATACAACCATGCTGACAATTGAAATTAACCATTACACTGGTTGTCCTAGTTTGCTTTCCATGGCTGTGGGGAAAAAAAAAAACCAACTTGTTGGGGGAAAGGGTTTACTAGGTTTACATGTCTCTACTGCAGGCATTATCACGGGCAATCAGGACAGGAACTACAGCCTAGTAGAAGTGGGCACCAGGGAGGATGAAATGGGTACTGGCTTACTCCCCGGGCTTTCTCAGTTAGGCCTAGGTCCATCTGCCTAGGCCTGCCTACATTAATCAGCAAGAAGCCTCCCTCCCCCCAGACAAGTCCAATGGAGGCAATTCTTCACCTGGGGCACCTTCTTCCCAGGTGACTCTAGTTTGTGTCAAGTTAACAAAGACTAAGGCGCACACAGCTAAATCCTGTTAGATGAAAGGAAGGCTCGCATGTTCTAGAAATGAAGGCTGTCCACCCAACCACCATCTAGTTTAGCTGACAGAGAGTCTAGCTGAAAATTCTGCAATTTCCATCTCCGAGGCTAGCTCCTGGGAGAACACAGTGAGAACTTTCTAGACAGCAAGGATAATGGAAGGCTAGTCACAACCCAATACACTTACCTCCTGTACATTAAATGCCACATGATACAGTAACTGTCTTGTGATCACCCAGCTGAATTTCCACCAAAAGGCTATGAAATATTTGAAAGACAAAGGCTACTTAATGCACCATGAGAATAGTATAAGGTAAAGGAATGGTCTGAGAGAAACGGGCAGCTATGTTGTGCAGTCCTTTTGTGAGTATGGATAATTAAAATTCTAAACCAAAAAAGGATTTGCATCCAGCAAGTAGCAGACCTGAGATGTGGGGAGGATCTCTCAGGTTCTCTGGTAGTTTGGACCTCAGTGGCAGCTCTGGCATGTGCCTTCTCCAGACTAAAATGTCTCCAGATTAGAAACACAAGGCTAGCAAATGCTCACTGCTTCAATGCTCTGAACATAGAGGCCACATGCCCACCTCCCCAATGACCAATACCTGGCCAGCCACCCTGCCTACTTACCTCCAGTACACTAGCACGGCAATGAGGAGGACGAGGCACACGAAAGTCAGGGCTGAGACCACGATCAGGGGGATGATCCACTCCATCCTCCCCGGAGAGGGGCGGCTTATCATCCCAGAGGTGTTCTTTTCAGCTACAAGAGAAATGTACCAGTCAGTGGATAGACGTGACAGCCCAGCAGTCAGTCCACTCCAGGAAGAATGAGCCTCACCCACTCGGATCTTCCACAGGTCCAGAGGGACAAATGGCTGTCCTAACCCGACCACACCCCCTTTTGCAGGTGGCCAGGAGGATGGGTTTGCTTGTGAAATTACAGGTGTTTCTACTGTGAGTTCTGCAGAGGTAGCTCTCAAAGGACGTTCTCAATCCGGAGAGAACGTCACTCGAAGTGGTACTCACAGCCCAGAAGGAAGGTGGACAGGAAGTCAGCACTCCCTCCTCATACCCCCCCCCCCCAGCTCACAGCACACTCCTGCCACACAACCCTGGGGCTAAGCTACAAATCTGCCAACTGGTAGAGTTCTTCCTGGCCACCCAGTATTTCTTACTCAGCAGATCTTTCTTCTAACATCTAATATCTTCAGAAACCTTAGCAGGACAGCGAAGTCTCTCTTGAACTATGGGCAGATGCCTGGGAATGGCTAATGAGTAAGACACAGGTGCAGGCCAGGGCAGCCCAGGAGGCAGGTTAATGCTAATCTCTGATGGAAGGCCCCAACACTCCATGGCTGTCGAACAGATGTCTTGTGTAGAGCAAGGATCCCACCTGCTCTGTAAAAAAGAGGCCAACACACTGCCACCCCTGAATTGTCTGTTGCCAGTATGGACTAACTTCAGGGCTAATCAAGACTGTGTTTTCAAGGGAGGGGAGATGGGCCAAGCAAGCAAGAGGTAACAGGCCTTGGGAGCAGATATTTAAAGAGACAAGACTCCTGGCCTCGAGGTGTGTTCCTGTACGACGCACTGCATTTTGCTGGGTTTCCCCTGTGTTTAGTTTTAGGCACAGGCTCCTGAAGCAGGGGCAGTCCCGTTGCTCCCCAGCTCACTGAAGAAAAGACAGGCAGGCAGTAAACCCCAAATATTACAACCCCTGGATAGATATAAGGCAAAGGATCACCAGCCTACAATTCATACTGCCAGAGAAACTAGGATACAGGGAAGACCCTAAGAGGACCCCTCCAGAAGGGGAAAGGTATAAGATCTCCTGAACAAATTGGGAGCATGGGGGGAGTGGAGAGGGAGTTAGGAGAAAAGGAAGGGGAGAAGAGGAGGGGAGAGAACATGAGGGAGCAGGAAGATTGAGTAAGGGGTGGGAAAAAATAGAGGAGAGCAAGAAAATAGAGGGAGCCATTATAGGTTTAAAGAGAAATCTGGCACTAGGGAAATGTCCAGAGACCTACAAGGATGACCCCAACTAACAATGTAAGCAATAGTGGAGAGGCTACCTTAAATGACCTTCCACAATAATGAGATTGATGACTACCTTTTATGCCATCCTAGAGCCTTCATCCAGTAGCTGATGGAAGTAGAAGCAGACACCCACAGCTAAACTCTGAGCTGAACTCCTGGAATCCAGTTGCAGGGAGGGAGGAGTGATGAGCAAAGGGGTCAAGACCAGGCTGGAGAAACCCAGAGAATCAGCTGACCTGACAAGGGATACCAGCATAGGACCGACCCAGACTCCCTGAACGTGGGTGTTAGTTAAGAGGACTGAGCAGTCTATGGGATCTCTGGTAGTGGATCAGTATTTATCCCTAGAATACGAATGGACTTTGGGAGCCCATTCCACATAAAGAAATACTCGCTCAGCCTAGACACATGGGGGAGGGCCTAGGCCCTGCTCTAAATGATATGACAGACTTCGAAGACTCCATGGAAGGCCTCATCTTCCCTAGGGAGCATAAAGGGGGTGGGATGGGGGTTGATGGGGGGGCATGGGAGGAAGGGAGGGAAAGGGAACTGGGATTGACATGTAAAACAGCTTGATTCTAATTTAAATTTAAAAAAAAAAAAAAAAAGAACCCTGGAAGCACATCAGTGTTGTGGGGTTTCTTCTGGACCCCATCTTTCACTGCGCCTTTAGAGGGCAGGGGTGCAGCAGGGGCTAACCTCGGAGCAGCCTCGCAGGGTCAGTCAGGAGGTAGAACATTGAAGAACTAATCACAGGGCAACTACCGTGGTGCCAGGGGAAGCACATGGGCTCAGGCCAAAACAAACAAGCAAACAAACAAACAAACAAACAAACAAACCCAAAATACCCAAGGCTAGTTCTCATACTGCCCCAGGGAAGCGAGCTTCAGAGAAAGACTTGAAGGGTGAAGAACATCAGCTGGGTGAGTGTGTTCTGAACAGAGGCTGTGGGATTGTGGGAGTGTAAGTATGGGGGCCAGGATGGGAAAACTAGTAGTCAGTCAGCCGGGCCTCAGGGACTGAAATAAGGGTATGGGTTTTAAGTTCTAGCAGTGCATGTTACTGTAGGGTTTGAAGTGAAGATAAACGAGTCACCTGTCTCCATTCACTGCCCTAAAGGCAGAGCAGTGTCAACTGTCCTGACGAGCCAGGGGTGCAAAATCGAATAATTCTGCAGGGCTCCAAAGGGGGCAGTTCAGCCAGGCAATTATCTGGCAGCTGGCAGGGGCCTCAAAGACCCGGAGGTTCTGCTAATGGGAGGAGTATCAGGAGGGCTGACAGCAGAGGCCACGTGACCTGGTAGCTCTGTACTGGGAGATGCCCAGTGCCTTCTTTGTCCCCCCACACCTGACAGAAAAGGGTTCCTGCCTGTGGTCCCCACTTTCAGTTCTAACTGTAAGACCATTCTATAATTTTCTTGGCTTTAGGGTGACAGGGCCAGTGGCACTCTAGCTGCCCCTGAAACTGAGTGGGCATCTATGTTGGTGCTTCTGCTCGCGATTTCCTCTTCCTTCACAAGATGACCAAGGTTTGTGCCCAATCTTTACAAAGGCTCGGGGCCACACATGGAGCGGCTCCTCCATGCCTGACAGGGTAAGTTCTCAAATTAACAGCCAGCTTTGGCAGAGTTGGGCTGAGTGACTTCTTCCTAGCATTGTGTGGTGCTGTGTGACACTGTCCCCCAAGGCAGTGCTGTACAGGAGACCTCACTTGCATCCTGACAGTGCTTAATTTCAGTCATCGTCTACGGCAGGACTTTCTTTAAACACCTAACACAGAACTGTTACTCAGTTCTCTAATGGGATGCAAGACAGTCAGCCTCATTGCCAACTTTACAGCACTGTCTTGTCTTGTGCATCGGGCCTGGAAGTGAATTGCACTTCCTGTTAAAATCCCACAATCTGTCACTCCCCTGAACCCTGGGTTCCTGCCCAGAGAGAATAGGGAATGCACCCAACCAACCAGCCCTACTGAACTATAGACATGTTTACCTGACCGAGACCACATTTTAAGGGCAAGACCCACCTTCAATCTGGACCTTTCGAGGTGGGAAGATCCACCTTAAATCTGGGCCACACCTTCTGGTAGCAGCCTATGGAAAGGACATGGAAGAAGGAAGCCCTTGCTCTTTGCCTGTTTGTCCTCTCTCTTATTGGCAAGTCCATGCTTTCACTGGCATTAGAGCCTGCTTCTTCCGGATTCCAGTGTGTACTGAAGACCAGCTGAGATATCCAGCCTCATGGGCTTTCTATCAGGAGACAGCCATTGTTGGGATAAGTTCTTCCAAAACCTGCAAGCCATTCTAATAGATCCAGTTTTTACATACACAGACTCATTCTGTCAGGTCTGTGTTTTAGAGAGCTTTGGCTAACACAGAGACCCTCAGTGGAAGATGTGTGTAGAACGCCTGGAGGTGTACCTGCACCAGGCAAAAGTAGAGCACAATCTACCATCTCCATGTGTGTGTAACCCTGGGTAAGTGAGATACTGTTAGTAATTTCTCTAAGTCTCAGTTTCCTCCTCTGTAAACGGAGGTAATAATTCTATCCCCTGTGTTATAGAGTATGTGCATATACAAATTTTAGAATACTGCCTGGTACTTACTTGCCCTGGCTACCAGTAGATGTTGTGCCTATCTCCATCATTATATCCTACCATTATCGACACCATCACTCGTACCATCTTTACTGCAAGCATCACCACATCTGCTCCATCACTGATCCCTTCATCAGCAACCCAGCCCAGCCTGGAGAGGATGGAAACACTTCCTGGCTGGCTGTTAAATCTGACTCCTCCCTGAAAGACCCGAGTGTGTGGTCACACAGCACTTCAGATACACACAGTACGCACACAAGGATCTTCCTGTAAGACACTGGGGCCTCAAAGTTGGTCTTGAGGGAAGACCAACAGCATTCTTCCTATTTCACAAAGACAGCTGTCCAGGTGTTGACTCAGTCTGTGACCCTAATGGAAGAATGAACTGCTAGGAGCTACAGAGCACACACGGCAGCCCACACGGGCTGTCACTTAGCCCCCAAAACCTTCTGTATACCTTTGGAGACAAGCAGTCACTAGGAGTTTCCCAGTATCTATAAATTAGAGTAAGATATTCACAACAGTAAAATAGGATAATTACAACATCCTAGAATGAAAGCTTTTTCTCTCAAAATAAGTGCCATGATATTGGGAAGTATCAACGAATGCAAGTGTAGGTGGTGAATACATTAAGAACACGGAGATAGTTCATGTTCCAGACAGCATGGTGTTAAGACAGTGTGACATTTCTTCAAGATTCTCATAACCACAGGGCATGACTGGTACACATCTTTCTTCCCAGCATTTGGGAGGCAGAGGCAGGTAGATCTCTGTGACTTTTGGGCCTGCGTGGTCTACGTATATATAGTTGTTAAATTCTAGAATTTCCCTTTCATTTTGTTTGAACAATAGTTGACTACTGATCAACTGCAGAAAGCAAGCCTTGGGGGCTCCTGTATACATTTCCAACTGAGGCAGTGTGTCTGACAGCAAGCTCCTTGGCCTCAGATCAGGAGGTGCTGGCTACAAATGGACAAGTTTGTGTGTAGTTTGTGTGTGGCTTTGAGTAAATGACTGGCAGCCTCTGAGCCTCTGCACCCTTCCTCTACTACAGGAAAGCAGGTGGTAACATTCACTCTACCAGGCACATGAGTAGTACAAAAATGACCCTTGTAAGACTGACTGACT